CATCATTAACCTGGTGGTAAAAACTAAAAATATATTATATACACACTTGTGTCTTAAACCCAACAGCACCAACCACAGTCAGAGCCATTAGGCCTATTTTGGGCGATTGGCCACTCAGAGCTTAGCAGCAGTGATGTAAAGCATAATCTGTCCGTCTGTGGATTGATGAGTTTTGATTGAGTTTTGCAGCATTTTCCATCTTGGTGACCATCAACAACTTTCTAAAGATCCACTTAAATCTACTTTGTTCACTCATGACTTCCACAAATATGTGTTGTGAAAGTCTTTAGTGTCCCCAGTGATTCTTTGACTTTCCCTGTATGTATTTGTTCTTTCTTGTTTCCACTTCCTGTTTATTTGGTTCTCCTGTGCCTTGATTTTCCGTCTTTGTCTTACTTCCTATTCTGTCTCTCTCTTTTTTTTGCCTGTCTGGGTTGCTTTCTTTGTGATTGTCTGCTCGGCCTTTATTGTCCCCACCTTTGTCTTGTTCTACTTTCTGCCCTCCGTGTCCACAGTCTTTCTCTTTGTCACATTGCCTACCTTTTTGTTTGCTTTTAGGGGTTAACATATTTTTTGATTCTTTATCAGGCAGAATAAACGCTCACATTTTGTTGTTTCATCTGCTGCATTTCAGTCCTTTCTGCTGCCAACAGGGTCATTGCAATAATACACCGAAATGGGATGCAGGCATTGGCGATTTTATTCGTTACAAGTGCGGGTGACAAGTCAGTATCTTTACTGTTGGAATGGCATATTAAAAGATGTCTAAAGGAGAACAAATCACCAGGTTTCGGAATGGTTATGAGTAATCAAAAATAGTAATAATTGCACTTGCAGACTCCACAAGACTGAAAGGAAAGTCAGAATAAATGGACAGAGGAGCAGGAGTGGGGATGTAATGGCCTCAACACACTTTGGTGTTTGACTGACATGTGCAGTGCAGAAACAACTCAGCAACACACTCTAGACAACCAGAGATGGAGACAAATAAAAGTTCAGCTTGAGTTCATGCTGTATCAGTGGGTCTGATTTTTTCCCTTCTCCATTATATAATTCAGCAGCTGAAACACAGGCATGCTTAACTTATAAAAATTAAAAGGCCAGCTTCATGACCTTGACAGTGTTATTTATGTGGCACAAGTTTTCTGCTCACACTGCTGCTAATTTCCCTGAGGTTACCAGGGAAACTAAACTGCGTGCAATTCAACGGTCCTCTGTGTTTTGCTGGTCATATTGCATCTTCAGCTCCAGAGTTGCTGTAATTGTCTTTTTTTAACCGCGGCTAAATTTAACCACTGAGCTGGTGTACAAACAGCAAAGAGATAAAGCGTGGGCTCTCGCACCTGCTTTCTACTGTCACACGCCGAAGAACATCCCAGCGTCACGGTACAGTGGAGAAACAGACACAAAAAGGAACGTTTTTACATGTGGGACCTGTAGGTGGATAGATTTATACTGAGGTATTAGAATAGTATGAAGTTAAAAGAAATGAAGGAGTATATTTGGTGTGACTACCTGAAGGTGGCTGCATGAGATATGAGTGCTGGTAAGTGGACAGTACGTGTTGTTTTCTGTGCCGTGTAGTTTATCCATGATTTTTTGGGCAGGTCAGTGATAAGCGTCCAAAACTGTGGGAGGATTGCCAGGGAGGATAAGACCAGCTCAGCAGAAACAGGTAAGTTGCACTGAGAAGGCATTTGAAGCCCTGTAAAGCCGGGAAACAATAAGTTTAGCAGAAAGAATATGCAAAACCACAGGACAGCCACATAGGTGTCTGGTTAACAATCTGAAGAGGCAGGCAGTCTGGCAGAGACTGGTTGTTGATGATCAGCAGGTCAGCAAGCCCACCCAGAGGTGGACCTTTATAAACCCAACCCAAGCTATACTCAAGACACTTGAGTAAAACCAGGCAGACAGACTAGAATCCTATGAGCTTAAAAACAGATGGCTTGTACACATAAAATACCCCATGCACCAAGAGATCTGGGTCAGAGTGCAGGAAGGCACAAGAAAGGAAAGAAGATGAGAGCCTGAACACCGCTACTGCTGGAGCATCTGACAGCGAGTGGGTGGAAGAACAGGTCTGGATAAAAAGACTGTGGTTAATTGTGGCAGCCAAGGATCTAGGAGGAAATGGTGGCAGCCCCATCAGGAGTCCCCACAAACAGAGAAAGATGCCTTCATGAGACCCATGTATATGTCTGTTTTTGTTGCCGTACCACTCCATCTGTACTGAGGTGTACTGCATTGGCTGTCAGCTTGCTGCTACAGTCCAGACATTATCCAGGTGAACCCGTTAAACCTCCAATATTCCATCTACATCCCATCATAATTGCAAAATCAGTAATTAAAGAGAAAAATCTAAACCAAAGTTTCTCCCCAGACTTCCTTTGTGGCCATTTCTTAAAACAAATGAAAATGCTTCTTTAGGACTTGCTTAGCTGTGCTGTAAAAAGGCTGTTTCATGTCAACAAGAGGTTTTTTTGCTACTTAAGGCAACAGAGATCAAGCTGGAGACAGAACACTGAAACATTTTCATCTTAAAAAGTTGACTTTGTTTCAGATTTACATATCCAATATACACCGAGCAACATCATTCGTTTGAAGCCCATTTAGTCATGATGCTGGGATTTTGTACTATTTAGTTTCTGGTAAGAGGGTCTGAGTTTGGGTCTCTGCCGGGGTTTAATTTTTGTATTCCTGCTTATTTTCACATGATTTGTTAGGCTGCTGGATTTCTTAGTCTTGTTTCATGGTCTGGTTTCAGTGTAATTGGAACCTGTAGTCCTGTTTGAGTTCAACTATGTCTTACAGGTGGCTGCAGACACTCACTGTTGTACCGCTCTCCTGGCCTCCTCTGTACATATTGTTGGCAATTTGAGCCAAAAAATTCAAATTTGGATCCAACACCCAATAAGAGCTGTTTTGACTCCAGCTCTTGTGTAATTTGGCATACCTCAGACCATTTCTGATGGGGCTTCAGAAAACAGGAAATGGATCAACTGAGGGCCAGATGCATCTCTCAAATCCTGCGCCAGCTCTTTGCTGGACTGTTAGATCATGTTCAACTATCTGTAATTAAAGAATTATAGATAGGTTTTATGTTTTTTTGTTTTGTTTTGGGGGGTTTCTGCATTCAGAGTACATTTACAGTTTCTTTTATGCCTCAGATCTAACAATTACCATTATTTATCTGACAGGAGAATGATAATAAAGTTAGTAAGTGTTCTCATTATGCAGTTTCTCTTAGTGTCTTGTCAACAGTAGTCATCGGCTTTGCTTATCAAGGGCTGTGACATGAAACTGGCAAAGCAACTCACCAGCTGCTGCTGTCCCAGCATGGACACATGGAAGGATTTGTCTTTTTATCTCTGCATCTTATGGTGACATTTTTCAAATCTATTTTCAGTTTTGTTCTTTATCTTAATGCATAAGGGATTTTGTGTGTTGCTTCCACCTGACACAAAGGCAACAGATGTGTGGATTACTGGATATGTGGCAACTCATGTAGGTTTAGGCATCTTTGATGTTGGACTTTTATCAAATACAAGCCTGTGAGAAATATCGGGTAACCCACACTCACATTTCTATGAGCTGTTACTTTTTTCAATAAGGAAAAAATACTTGTTGACAATGCTGCTGGAGCTCAATAAATTAAACCTCATAGTATTTCACCATTAACAGACTCGTTTAAGAAACTGAAGTTGTCTGTAAATGAAGTTAACAGCTACTTAGCAAAGCAGAGAAAGGCCATAGAATTAGTGGCTTTTTTCATGCTTATGCTAATCAAAAGGATGCATTTCCAGCCTTAGTTAAAACCTATAATTACATGAAAGCTTATCACTTTACCCCTCTATCTAGCATGCATGTTTTTAGCTAAATGCAGCTAGCTTATCTATAATGTAGTCTAGCTCAGAAAACACTCTGAATGGTCAGTCAGTCAGTCAGTGTTTTGTTATTTAACAGAGAAAAAGAACATGGTACTTATACACTGGCTAGTGTGTACATTACACCTTCCAACAACTGTCCAACAAAGTGATGCATTCTCATAAACTTAAAATTAATCCATTAAAAATACATAAAAGCAGTTTGTGGAAGCCTTCATGTTGCCCTGCAGTCTTGGACACAGTTGCCAAGATGGACATCGCCATTCAACCTAATCACATTTTATGTGGTTAGAGACGCTACCATTGACCACATACATAGCATGGCGAGGAGAGGAAAAGCAACCTGTCAGATTTCAGGTGCCTGGGAGGCAAATTTTAATTTGTACCTGCTCATGATGTTTTTCCACGTGAAGCAGAAGGCTGTTTTCACACTACAGCTCAACCGATGTATCTGTGGGCCGATGTTATTGGCCTGTATTATGTATTTTCTGATATATAACAGCCAATAAATAAAAATAACAAAGAATAACAAGAAGAAATACACTCTAACCATGTTTCAAGTGTTGATGCTAAGTAGTTTGTCCAGCAGAGGGCACGGCAACTTCCTGGTTGTCAGCATGTCAGTTAGGAACACCACAAAAAACAACTATCTGCTCCAAGGAGAGTCGGGTGGGTTATGGAAACCTGTTTATGTTTTGTGTGTTGGAAAAAAAAAAAATCAACTAATGTTTAAATCAACAAATATCAGTATCAGTCTTAAATATCGGTTAGGTTCTATTTCAAGTCCTGACAAACATAACAGAGTTTTTCCTGACTGAATTATTCTCTCCTTTTAATTCATTCACTGTCCGTAATTCCCCATGAATCACTAAGAAGCTGGAGGAAACATAGACCTGAGAGCCAGATGTTTCCCTCGGGAGCTGGAGGAGACCAGACAGAGGTAAAAGACAAACAAAGACATTAGTATGTGATGCACCCTGTAATAGAATAGTCTACCTGTACAAAGACTTTTACACTTTTTATGGTCTTTGTCTCCTTTTTGCATCACACACGCGACATGCTTTCATCGCCAGTTCCTCAAATAAAGCTGCCACATGCAGTGAGTATTTCTCTAACATGTTTAATCGTGTTTGTCCAAAACAGTGCATTGCATAAGGACTGGTAAATGAAACATTAGTTCAAAAAATATTTTATCAGCATATTGACTGTAACAACCTGACAGGATGACAAACACTTCAAGTTGGAGTACAGTAATGTACAGTACCGCAGTACGTTGTTACCATTTAGATAAACTCACGGTGGCTTCACTATTACACAATACACACAGTTTCACAAGCCTGTTTCACTCATCTCATCCAGTGCGACTGAAATTTTGATCAAATATAAACACAATACGGGTCCGTTAGTCTTAATTATGAGCTTGACTGATTAAAGTGCTAAATTCTTACACAATGGGAGGGCGTTGTAGAAAATTACGAGTCCTTTGGTGCAGCAGGAAGCCGTGTTAAGGTAGTGTATAGAATATATGCCTTGTTCTATGCATTATTGCTTTTGTTTGTGGCTTATATAACGGTCTAAATATTGCTGTAATTGGTACTTCTGTTATTGAGTATTACCATAAATAATATTTAGAAATCATTGTTCCACATCACTGAGACCTGTGGGTGCAGCACCAGCAGATTAGAGGTGGATTTTTTAGGCTTTTTCATTTTCTGTGTTGTGACACACCAAACAGTTGGAATCATGCTGTCCTTCTCCACCGGGAAGATTAATAACCGCCCAAATGACTCGCACGGGTGCTAGAAAGTATAAGACAAATGAGAATGTATTATCCTATTAACTACCAAGGGCCTACATGTTAATTATCTTGGCCTGTGGTAGTCCAGAAACTGGGTTAAGTGAGACCTTATTACGAATGAAACACAGGCTGCATGAGCAGCGTGCTCAAAGGAACATGAGAAAAGATTATGATGAATACAAATCACTGATTTCACATGTGATGAATACGGCACCCAACAAAACAACGCACATTTCTATCAGTGCACAATCTGTAGTTGAAATCTATCCAACCAATGGAGATACTGATGTTATGACGTACTTGTGGCATTATTTTAGGGTTGACCCAATAACCTGAGATATATACCCAAATTCAGGACTTAACAAGTCAGTCAGTTGTTTTCCGGTTGCAAAGGTATTCTATTTACATCAAACAACCCGAGATGCCCACCCTGAATCGCTGCCTCCCCTTGACTGCAGGATTTGAAGGATTCTCATCTACGACGACAGATGAGTGATAAGAATAATAACATGGAGGGCAGACCTTCATTGTTATTATGCAAATCTCTAGAGAGTGGCTCATGAAATGAAATAAATGATTAGGCTGGTGGAATCAAACCACTCTCAGAGTGTGGCTTCTGCTGAGCACAGTGAAATGCTATCAGTACATCTCTCCCATTAGAATCACAGAAATTAGACACTAAAGCAAAACCAAATCACCCTCTTTGTCCAGGCTGCACCTCGGCCCATCTAAAAGTACCATCTGTGTTCTGAAGTGAAGAAAATCATGGCACGCTGCTCCCTCTAGTGGATCATGTCAGGAATTAGACACAACCTATTACACGTCCAGGTCTCTTACTTTAATGTGTGAGTGCACGGTCCTTCATGAACTCGTTCAAATGAACCCAAAAGACTGTAAAACTTTTATACAATAATATTTCATGTTGATGCAAATAAGACAGAGATTCAACATGAAAAAAGGACGCTTTTTGACGTGCGCTTTAATTCCCATGTGCATTAAAGAGGACTCACAATAAACAGCTTTAAAGGTGAGCTGCAGACATGTTCAGTTCCATATGATTGGAATATCTGAGGAGGAATTAAAGGTTCTTACAAGTTTCCACTTTCTGCTACCTTTTTATCAAATAAATATTGTGCTTTTCACTTCACTACAGTTATTTATTAGGGGGTGTTACAGTACAGCACAGTTACTAATGACTCAAACCCTTTCATTCTGAGCCCTTTGACGTTTCAAGGTTATATTATCGGCAAATCTTAATTCCTATCACGTGGCTCCGTTTAATTTAAATCAATACCTGAGAGGTCAGTCAAAAAGTTACAGATAAGAGAAATCTTTAAAAGTGCAGGAAAATAAGTGAAACCAGCTACAATAACAGTGCATCAATGTCAACCTAATAACATCATACAGTCTATGTTATTACATACCACACATATGACCTTTGAACTATTGCATTTTTTTGTTAAATACATTTATAGTTTTTCTCTGTAGAATATCAGGAAGCAAGTAGTACTTTTATTTTGAAAATGATCTGCAACAGTCAAAAAAAAATGGAAACGTATGGGGACAGAGCCAATCTTTCATTTGATTTCTGTGAGGAGTTAAAGTGTCCACATTCGTGAAAAGCGTCTCATCACTCTGCTCATTACTGTAACTTACTAACTCAGTGAGCACAGAGCTGCCTCATCCTCTGTGAGTTTGTGTAGGAAATAAAAGTGGGTTCAGTTGAGCCACTAGAGGGAGCGTGACGCCATGTTTTACCTCAAAAGTGCTCTGAAGCGACAATAAATATACTTTTTTGCCCAGTTAAACTGCACTGTGTGGTTTTTCAGGAAGCCTGATGATGATCATTTGGGAGTGCTCACACTTTTCACAAACACTACGAGTAAACTCTGAAAGGGGCAAAGCGAGCTTGTTCGACTGTTGTCTAGCACTGCCAGTTTATGGGGAAAAAAAGATAAACCAACAACAACAGAAAATCCAAAACCTGGCATCGGCTGCTCCATCAATCATGCACACATTTAGAAGCGCAGAGATACAGCATATTTACACTGACCATCAATCTGTTGCTGACTGGCTCCTCGTTGGTACATGGATGGTCTGTGGGGGTTCTTATTGGGTTTTTTTTATTATGAGGAGATGCATTTTGTAGCCTGTTGTGGCAAACAGAGAGGAAAGGGGAGAGCATGAGAGCAGAGACCAACGGGGAGGTAATGACGGCAAAATCAATTTCACACTTGACTGCATTTAGGAGAGGTGAGTGGCGCCGGGCATCTTGATCTGTCCATCAGCCCGCGTGATTCTCGTTGCAGTGGCAGCATCATAACTCCTGTTAGACTAACCGAGGGCCAACAACCATGACTACATGGATGATACGGCTGTTAGAGCAAGAAACTAGGCACCTACTACATCACGAACCCCCCCCCACACACACACACACACACACTCACACACACTTACACACACCCTGTACATATGACATCTTTATCTGCAGGAGTGACGCTGAGCTCATCCGCCAACTGTTTAACCTCCAGTTTCTCCAACAAGAAGAAAATTAGGCCAAAAAGAACCATACATATATCTATCAAGTGAGATTTTTCTGCTTCTTTTATGGAAATATAAAATGAGATCTTGTACATTATAATTATAGACTCTTCAAGATGAGTCACCTCTGTTCCTTCCTATAATGACGCTAACCTACACATTATTTATTTGCAAAAAGGATCTGCTAAAGCGCTTAATTATGGACGATAACTGTAATTTTCTGATATTTTCTAGACTTCTTCTGTGCACTTTTTAGCAACGTCATCGCCGAATGTCAGTTTTGTCCAGACGAGGCGCTCAATGACAAAACATCCCCTGCTTCACCTCTATCAGCCAGTTAGGGAACAGCAACAGCCGACAGCAGGGAGGGCAATCTTCTGCTGCGGTGCTGTGTGTTATCAAGATAATGGTGTCCTTTGTCTATTCAAGGATTCAATTACCGGCAGATTCATCACCTCTAAAGGTCAGCAGAGGCTGAAACTGCACCAAGGTCCTGATCACACTGGAAGCACACTGGATTTCCTCTGTTCCTTTAACATGTTTGAAAGTTGCTTTCATGCATTAGAATGAAAATTCACTATGTGGGGAAAAAGTGTCAGACTGTTAGTGACTGAAATCAGACACTTCTATGCCAAACATGAATGTCCTCCCAGAGGGGCCACTTGATTTTGGTTAAAACAGCTGTGCAGTGGTGTATAGTGAATTTTCTCGAAGCTCAACCATTTGAACACTGAGAAGATTTAAAGTTAAGAGAACAGCGTTTTTATAGACTATGCAGGTGTAAGCCTGCAGCCAGTTAGTGTCTGTTAGGCTTCATCTTTGATAATCCAAGTCACTAAACTGCACATCGACACTTTTTGATGGAATTTTATGACACATAATATAACTTGCTGTGTGTTCCAGACCATCCAGTAAGTTTCAGGTTTATTTTGTAATTTTTTTAAAATTATCATTTATATTATCTGTTTCTTGGGACTATCCATACTTTCTTCCACGTATCTGGATCTGCGGCTCCCTGCCCACTCCCCCAGTCGTGCTGTGCAACACTGCAAGTTTTGGTACTGATCCAATTACAAGTACCGGTAATTAAAAAAATATTTATTTAACACAAATCAGTGGACTGAACTTAGAGGATAGAAACAAATTATTGATCCTATTGAACTAGTATCAGTTCAATAGTATCGATACTATTGATATTTGGATTGATAGTCCTTCTCTTCTGAGGGTCACCAAGACTTTCCAAATCCAGCCGAGAGATGTAATCTCTTAAGCCTGTTGTGAATCTGCTCCATGGTCTTACACTGCTGTGACAAAACCTCACCTAGGAGCTGCACAGGAGGCATCCTGGTCAGATGTTGAAGCACCTCAGCTGGCTCCTTTAGATTAGGAGCTCTACTCTGACCTCTTTCCAAATGACCAAGCTTCTCTTTATCAGCATGCTTGGATTAATGGTAGCTGACAACTTAGACCTTAATTCCTCCAAATATGATTATTACTTGTGCAAAAACAGTACAAAAATGTGTCAGCACTAATACTAATATTGAGGGTTCAAAATGTCTAAAAAGAAAAAAATTAGCACATATATATCATCAGCTAATACCTGAGTTTAAACATTTCTGACTTGTGGAAATAAAGTTTTTTCCATCACTTACCAAAGAGTTGAAAGTGATTATAGACACATAAAGTGTAAATATGAAGACGCTGCCTGCAGTTGATTAGCCTAGCACAATAACCAGACAGAGTTGGAAGCAGCTAGCCTGGCTAACGGACCTCCTAGCTTTTGTTTAGGCGTATTTTAAAGAGTAGGTGCGAGGAAGTAGCGGCATTTGGTTACCTTTTGGGGCCTTTCTACACATACTGTTGAGATTTATGTTTATATGTACGGCTAATATCTCATAAGTAGCATCACATATTTGTGTGTTGTCTTTGACGGTCCACAGTGTAACATAGTAAGATCCCCTTCACAAGAATGTGGATGGAGGTTGTGATACCTACAAGGCAACAAGGTCATAAATCTGCTCTTATGGAACGCACCCTAGCTCCGTCTGACCGGAGGATAAGAGGTGGCTGTCATGGTAACGGTAGTGTTGCTAGCAGAAGGCTGAAGTGCACAGAAAGCTGCAGAAGAAGAAACACAAGTATTGGATCTCAGTCAAACAAGGAGAACTTTTGACCTTTGACCTTTGACCTTAGTGTCCTGTTTAACACACATAATAAAAAGCATTCACTGTCTGGGTGTGGGGCTCTTTGTTCGTTTGGGTCTCCTGAGCGAGCAGAGAGACCCTGCAGCCATTTTTTAAAAACTTGAACCTTCAATTGCTAAATAAATTTAAGAAAATGCACTTTGAGCATATTTGTCTTCTCTCTCTCTCTCAAAAACCCAACACAGTTGTTTTGATAACTAGCCTTTTCTGTCCATTTTGGCCTTTTGTCCACATTTTATGTCACTGAAAACAGAGTTTTCTGAAACTTGGTGTTTGCCTTTTATTAGCTCTTACATCAGACTGTGTGCTGTGTTGCTTGCGCGACAAAATATTATTGCTTTATCTTTTTATGCACGTTTAGATGCTAACACATGCAAAGGACTCACGCTCCTGTGTTTTTAGAAAGACAGAGATTTCTACATTCCACATTCAGTTAAGACATTTCTGTTATGCCCATCTTTGTTCACCTAATAAAGTTGTTCCATTAAAGATTCTGATTGGCCAGTATTTGTTATTGTTTTCAGCATTTTCATGTAGATGGACAATATTTTCAAATCAATTCTTGTATGCACAGATTTTTTTAAATGAAAGCAGAAAATCTCTATTTTAAAAAACAATACTTTAGCAAGTGTTGAAGTAGCCAGCCTGTAGATTAAGATGAGCTCAAGTTCTGAGTTAAGGCCATTACGCCTCGAGCGCGTTGCAAAGAAGCAAGTTTGGATCAGAAAACAGAATTTTTCTGATCCAAACTTGTCGTGTTACACAGATACACACCAAAAGCATTTCTGCAGAAAATGAATTTTTAAAAAAACTTGAAGATGACATCATCAAGCCGTTGCATGTTTTAAACTACGAGCACGCTTGTTGTTTATTTGGATCTGAAAAATTTAGCTCGGTTTAAAAAAAAGCCCCAAATTTCGAATGGCTGCATTAAAAATAGATGAAAAATGAAAAATATTTTTAAGGCACGAAATATTAGCTTGAATTTTACATGTCCGGTGTGTAAAGGGCTTTAGTCCTCGCTATTATGACCACTGTCTTCAAAGTGTTTATTCGTCAGCACATCTAATTCTGAATTAATTAATGAATCCCAACAGCCTCTGCTGACTTGAAGCATCTTTGACTTTTTGATAGTGCAGTGTTTTTACAGAATCACTTCAAAACATCTGGTTTCAGGATATGAGATGAAGCGACTAAAATGGATTTCAGCCTGAGTACATGGGGGCTCTACACGAAGATGCCAGCATCTCGAAGCATTTAAGACCTGAACTGAAATAAAAACCGAGTAGAGGCCAATATTTCTCATGAAAATAATCTTAAGTAAGATTCTTTACACATTTTCCCATTAATTCAGAACGACAGGAGAATTTATTAAGACCCTTCCCATACAATGTGAAAACTGCTCTAAAACCCATTCTTCTCTATGGCTCGCACACACCACAGCACAAGCGCACCTATGTGAAAAGGCCTTTACACTTCCAAAGATATGCACTCTGATTTTCAGTACAATCGTTTTCTGGTTGGTAATAAACTGCAGCTGCAGTAAATTAGGTGCAAACTGATTACCCCCTATGAAAAATGACTCGTCATTATCTTTAAACATTAACTGATCTGACACAACAGATAAATATCAACCACTTCCATAACTTAATGTGGTCTAAATCACTAATATCTTTCAACCAGGGTAACATCAATGTTTCAGCAATTATCAGTGCAAACACTAATAAATTCCATAACCTACTAATAGCTGTCAACTTAGTGACCAACAGCCGTGCGTCAGCTGACACTGGGGTTACCAAACAGGAGAGAAAAAGTTATTTCAACCTTCAAAACGTGCTCGACGCGTTGTGTATCTGCTGTAGTTTTGATAGCAAGTGAGTGTGCTCCATAGACACACATGAGAGATCTTTCCCATGAAGAGTAATTAAATAATGTTTTATGCCCAAAATCAAAGTGCACGGAAACACATTTAAGAATGTGGATGACAGCAGTTAGATGTTGTGTTTCTCCCCTGGAGCTGCTGTTGAGTCATATTCTTTTGTTGAGCGCGCCGAAATGTCTCGAAACAAACAACCAGCTCATTATTTTATTGCCACAGTGGTCTACGAGCAAATGGCTTTGTGTTCTGCTCCCTGTGTTTGTTCATGCTATGGCTCTTTTTTTAATCACTTACACAATCTTTGTCTGCTATTCGCAATCTGTTACGGCTGGAAAGAAGCTTAACGCCTACTGTTACATGAATTCATAACTTGTCTTTACTATTTTCTGCCCGACTTATCCACAAATTTCATATTCACTATTTCAGATTAGTTAATCCTTCTTGTATGTGAAAGATGCTTTGCAGTGTTTACTATACAAGAGAAGCTTTTCATGGTTGATCAGGTCCTGGCCAAAGCTCCACTCAGCCTGGTTTGAGGACTTTCATTCTGGCCAAATCCATTTTACTTTCAAACCCTTTTGGCCAACATTCAACAATTTTCCATTCTTAAATCCCTCGTTTTAATTTTGCAACCTCTAACCTGCTGGCACCAAAAGCGACACGTCTTAATTATTCAAAAGGAAGTAAACTGTATTCATTAAATATAAATCTGTTTATCCTAATAAATTTATATATTTACAGTATTGGTGCAGTTGAGTTCAGAACAATGGCACACACGTCCACGCATCTTGCCAGGTGCAGGGTACAAAAATAGGAAAATGAATAAAATCCATGCTTTATCTTGACTGCAGGCCAGAAGAGATCAGTTGAAGCTGATGAGGACCTTTTCAGTCAAATGAAGCACGATGTAATAGAAAGAGGACAGTAGCATACTCCAGTGTGCAGGTGTTCCTTCTTATGTTGAGTCAGGTTTTTCTAATTTTGCTCGCTTGTTCCCATGCTTGCAGTTTCAGGACTCAGGAAGAAAAAAATAAATGTATTCTTAAGTGCTTTATGGGCACATTTTGTTCATCTGTTTGGCAAAAACAAGTGGTTCTACATAATGTTCACAAACTCCAGTAATCCTTATTTACTTCCCATGTGTTAAAAGACACGTCTAGCCACCTTTAGCCACCATCGTGTCCTTTGATAAGTAAACCACCCAGTAGACCATGTTAAATGCGCCAAACGACACAGGGAAGAGGATCCGTGCATACTTGTCAATTTTACTGGTTCCGCCCATACCAGCAGTGGTGGGCTGGGAGCACGGCGTCTGCTTCGGCTCCAGTTTGTTCCCCATCATCTGGATGCGCTCCAGCTTCGGGCCCAGCAGATGCTGCAGAGAGGAAGTGCTGGCGTTCTGCTTGCACGGCGTCCCCGCCATTACGTCTGGCGTAGAAGCTGCACCCTGAGGCGTACTCTTCACCAGCTGCGCTGAGGAAGACGCAACGCTGAGCAGGCTCTCAGACTTTGGGCTGGAGCGGGAGAGGGTGGAAGAGCTGCCATTGGCTCCACCGGCTAAAGGTCGCAGCGGCCTTCCTCGCCCTACTCCTGCAATGTTGGTGGTGGACTGGGCTCTCTGTTGACTGCTCGACTCTTGGTGGGAGATATAATTCATGCGCTTCCTCAGATTACCGTTCGTATCAGGATTTTGCTGCGAGAGAGGAGAATAACCATATTTGAGTCAGGCTGATAAGAAAGTTTACTGACACTGACATTTAAATTTGTTCCTCCCCTTCCTTAGTTCAGTTTAACAGCTTGAAATACATTTCATTGTGACATTACCAATAAGTTTGATGTGTCACATGGCCCTCTTCCTATTGAAAAAACAAAAGTTGTATCCAAGATGGCCGACTTCTAAATGGCCACCATGGTCACCACCCATCTTGAGGAGTTTGCCCCCACACATGCCACAAACAGGACTTTAATATCACCAACCATTCCCATTTTATTACGGTGTATCTATATAAATGGCCCACCCTGTATACAAATGTATCGCCAACTGCTGCACCTGTAAGAAATAACGAACATACAACACCTGGAACACAAAAATTTGAAAATGCACAGGTACATAAATCAACAATCTTCTTGTGGGGGGGTGTGAGAGAGAGAAAGAGAGAGAGTGTCGAGTGTGGGTGTGTGTCGTTGTTAAGAAATTTACTTGAAGGTGGGGAGCCGGCCAGAGAACCGCGCCATCCGCAGCCCTCAAGAGTTCTGAAGACCTAAGTCCACACATCTCTGCAATATCTGCACGCTCATTCCAGCAGGAGAATGAGGAAGGCCCTAGATTGGGTCCGCACGGCCAAGGGGTGGGAGTCCCAAAGGACCAGTGGCGACGGGCAGCCGACCCCACTGGAGCTGCCCACCCTAGTGTGAGTCGAGATCAAGGCTCCAGGCGCCACGGAAGAGGTCCAAGCGACAGAAGGAGTTCCAAGACCACCGAGTGAGTGGGTCAGTGACGACACCAGAACATCCAGCCACAGTCCCCGGAACCAATAAACACCTGCATCCCAGCAGGGAGTGATGGGGATGGTGAACTCCTCCCTCCATGCCCATGTCCAACAGAGGCCAAGGCTTATTTGTTGTGTATTATTGTAAGTAATGTTCCCAGTGCAGTCCTTTCTAGAATAAATTGTTTTTTTCTGTATTTAGCTTGAAGTGGTTAGCAAGGAATTTTCCAGATTTATCACCATGTTCAAAGTTCTCCAAATGCAGCCCCCAAAGCCCTCTGCACAACAGGCCAGATTTAATAATACAATGATGCACTACTTTATTCTATGCACTTTAAGCATTTTATCCACCTCTACCTTTATATTAGAATTACCATTTATCCTACGATATGTCTTTAGACTGTGGGAGGAGACCAGAGAACCTTGAGGAAACCCAAACAGTTTGAACCAAAAGCCATCTGACAGGCAATGGTTTTAACCCCTGTAACACCATGCCACCACTTATTGATAACACTGGACAAATCCAACTGGAATTCTTGATTGAGTTTGTTATTGAAACCAGCTCTCAGTTTGGATTCGGGAGATTATTTCTCTGTATTACTGTAGAAGCTTAATGTTAAAATATAAACTGTTGAATTGATGTTAGCAAAAAAAAAAAGGAGCGTTAAAACAATAAAAATATTTTGTGCAAAGAATTTTTTCATCTCTCCTTTCTTCTTCCTGTTTGAAGGAGTTTGCAGGATAGGTGAAGTTTACTTCCTCCCCACAATCTTTGTCATATTGATCTGATCACAGTCCCCCGACACAGATGGCCTTCATTTGTGAAGGCAGACGACAGACTGTGCGTAATACAGGTGTCACTTACCATGGCTTTCACTCATTTCACACAAGCTTAAGACAGAAAGTAGGTAGCACTGTATCGGGGTAATGCACTGTAGCGTCAAAGGAGCTTATCCTTTGAAAGTTGATGTTTTCAAGCAGAGTGTGATGCTGGTACTAAGGCATTCGCAGGAATAATCCACCAACACCACCCCCACCCCTTGAATTAGAAAGGATCCAATGTTATTGTGTCCCATCTGCAGCAGAGGAGGAGTGTGTGCGTGTGCGTGTGCGTGTGCGTGGAGTTTGTGTCTCAACATGGAGGAGGTAAAATGCTGAGGAGTTGGAACCATCAACACACTGTGACCCATGTGCCAAGCCCTCTGGTAACAGGACCTGCTCTTGAGGAAGAGAGTATTAATTTCCCCCCCTGTTGCCAGAGCTGTCCTGAAACCTATACAGATGTATTCGGACTGCGTTGCCATGGCAACCCCCTAATCCATTGAAGCGCTGTTGTCACTATACTGCATTCAGGCATGATTACGCCACACTGGGATTTAGGCAGAAGGGAACAACTTAAAGTAGTTACTGTAAAACGGGCATATCCGCTGGTGGGTTACGTCAACTTCAATGATCGGTTAACAGATGACCTATGATTTCCACTCTTCAGAAGATTATGCAGGCTGAGACAAATACATCGCACGTGTTTATCCGGCACCATGAACACGTTCCTACAGTTACATAAACAGCAATGCAACACATTCATCATATCTGACTTACAGCTTTAAAATAGCTTCATGGTATATTCATGAATCCTCGTTGAATCCATATAACTTGCCATGGTGTCGATGCAATTTGCTTAAACTTCGTCACACAGAAATAGACGCTTATGTCAGTTCATGCATGTAGAATTTCAAAAGAAAGGTTGCACACCTCGTGACTACTCCCAAACATCTGGGCTGTGAAGCTGTTTTCAGACCTGTCTTATTTTCTCTCTCACACACATTTTTTTCTGTTTTTTAACAAGCAGTTGTTTTTAATTTGACAAGCAAGATTTCATTTGTAAAGTTCTGGGACCAGGTTTCTCTAGCTTTCCTTAACACCCTGTAAGCAGGAGCTCAGCTGACTGCTCTCACATGCAGGAACCACTTCTGATGATTCAAACGTGTAGGCTAAAGGCAGTAAGCACATAATAAGGGACATGCTCTGTGAGTGCTCCTTGAAGTAACGTGTGATCAGATTATTGAGCCACTTTGAGAGAAACAGAAGTCACCTGCAGCACTTCCTCTGCGTCCTTGACCTTGACAGGCGTGGATTGGGGCACCGGGGGACATTTGGCCGGCTTCTTTTTGGCGCGCTCAATCTGTGCATTGGTGAAGTAGTTGACAGCGGCAAACTCAATGAGGGCGGAGAAGACAAAGGCGAAGCAGACGGCGATGAACCAGTCCATCGCAGTAGCGTACGAGACCTTGGGGAGGGAATGGCGAGCACTGATACTGAGCGTTGTCATGGTCAGGACGGTGGTGATGCCTTGGATGGTTTGTGGGAGAATAAAAACAAAAGAACACATGAGCCTGTATCAAAGAGGGAGTTGACATAAATTCTTTCATATTTGATCAAAGCACATAATTAGTCTGAATTTGACTCAATTTGAATGTAAGTAGAGTTGCAAAAATATCCATCTCACTGGGAAAACTGAGGCTTCACCACAGACTGGTATGAATTTTAACACTGCAGATCTGAATAGACAACCAGACGTGTTCAATAACCCATATATTATGTTCTTCTCATCAGGAGATTTCATTAACTGAAGGCAGAAGGATAATGAACCATATATACAGTATAGCTTTGCAATAGAAACATGTACAATAGAACCACAAAAGGCATTTGTCCACTTGAGCTACTCGGAGAGTTTCACTCGACTCTGTACTCTGAGGACTGATGTTTGTTTATACATACAAACAAATTTTCAGAGACTCAGCAGTAATTGGACAAGCCAGCATAACTTTAACATAAGGTTTGTGGTTAATACTTAGGAGAATATCCTTTGTAATCAATGACTGTCTGAAGCCTACAATTCATGAATATCACCGACTACTGTTTCCTCCCTCGAGCTGCTCTGCTATGCCTTTATTGCAGCTGCTTTCAGTTGCTCCACTCTCGAGTTTGTCTTCAGTATCTGTAAAGCTGCTCTATTTTGTTGAGATCTGGTAACTAATCTGGCCATTTCTTTGCCTTGAAAAACTCTTGGGTTTCTTTTGTACTTTCTTTGGGTCATTTGGACTGTGGAGCGCTGTATAATCAGTTTTCCAGCAGAATCTGAATCTGAACAGAAAGTACAGCTCTGCAAACTTCAGAATTCACTCTTTTACATCATTCAGGAGTCATCATCATCAACATCCAGTTCCACTGGCAGCCATACATCCTCTTGCCATAACATTGCCTCCACCATGTTAGAAAGAGGATGTGATGTGCTTCAAATACTGTTTCTTTCCTTCTCCATACTTTGTTCTTCCCATCATCTAGGTTTGGTTTCACGTATCCAAGGAGGTTTTTTCCTAAACTGCCGTCTAGTCTAATCTGGATTTCCATTTCTTGATTGTAACCAGTGGTTGTTGCT